CCCCCTGTAAAGTGTGCAACCTCAAAAATGGGGCAAAATATAGGTTTGGTAACATCGATATTGGTTAAGAATATACAGTGGGAACCGAACAACTAAGGAAAAGGAAGACGACGACTGCAAGACTCAAGTTATAATTTTAGATAGTTCAGTTAACATGAAGCACAGCAATTGGGCATTGTGCACGCAGACCAATTTATGTAATTAGTCGATTATGTAGCCAATTGTAAAACTATAACATAAAACGTATTGCTTAAATGTCGTCTTCCTATTCCACAGTTGTATGGGTCCAATTGTTTATGGAACTGTATTTCATGCGTGACCACAAACGATATTTACAGGGTGGGGAGGGGTCTTGTCTTTGATATTAATTTAGCCAACAACCAGCACCTTCTTTTATTTACTTTCATTTTCTGTTATACTTTTCTCTTTGTTTCCTCTAAAGGAGTGTACTAGCTGAAGGGCCCGGCGTTGCACGTGAAATTGAAAATAAAATTTCGAATTTGTCATCGCCTATAACACTCCCCGGCCAGCCCTTATTGTCCACAAAAGAAATACGAATGTCTTGTTTTATTATATAGATAATATATATTTTTATTAAGAGTTGACTCCTTCCCCCGCCCCTTTTTCTTTTTTTTTAAACCAAGTTACTTTTTCTTACTTGTTTGGTCAAATTTTGAAAAGTAAGAATTTTTTAATTTTCTTTCAATTTCTCTTTTATTTTTTGTTTGTTTTTATCTTATTGAAATTTAAACAATTTAAACCCCACTATAGTGCAGTTTTTCTTTCATTTTTTCTTTTATTTTTGTAATTTTTGTTTTCAATTTACCGAAAATTAAACTATTAAAACAATCCTTTACAGTGAATGTTTAATATAATATTTATATTCCCTGATGTTCCCTAGTCTTGATTAATTATTATATTACTCGCATTAATTTCTGGATTCCCCTATCTCCCCCCTCCCCTCCCCCTACCTTTACATTTTTCAAACTCCCCCTCCCCGAAACAAGGGTATACGGTAGACGTCGCCATATTTCCTATTTTAAAAGGTGATAAATTCTGTCAACTTCATTCCTTCTCTTTCGCATTATTCCCAAATCAGTTTTGCAAGAGAGAGAGTTATAAGGTTACCATTGTAAATTGGACTTGCAGCCTTGCAGCCCAAATAATCGTCCTCCAATATACGTCGTATATAAAAAATAAAATAAAAATATAATATTTAAACTCCATAGGAATGCCCCGAATAGAATTGACAATTATAACTTGGTTTAACTGGATGATTGGTTTTAAAAATTAAATTATCTCTGCACTGCGTAAATAAAGGCAACTACGTGAATTGGTTTGGGCTCTTCCATATGACTCGTTTTAAAACATTTTCTCCTCATACACGTAACAGATAGAAGTAAAATTAGTAGTAATCAAACCCAAATTTAATTCGGGATCAGCATATACCCCCTTTTATTTTTCATGAACACTCTCTTTAAGTAAACTTTAAAATATTCATATTTAGATGATTTTCCAGCTCAAGAATCAAAATTTCTTAATATACATCAATAACTCGCTAATTGTTATGAAAGGACTGATTACAACCTGAGTTTCATTCTCTCTAATATCTATATATCTGTGTAACCTAATGGTGTAAACCTATTAGAATATTAATGATCTCGCAGAACTTGCATTATCAAAAGTCTTAATGAATATCAGTTTGCAAAGATATTAGGATATATGGAGAGTAATCAGTTCCTTGACAACCATTTGTTTATCCTGATCCTGAATCTTCAGAGGCCGAATTTAAAGAATTTGAGCCGCGGCTTAAATACGCCAAAACCCGGTTTAAATTAAGGGCCGGCTTAAATCTTGAAACATTTGATACAATTTTAAGTGGAACCAACCATATTTAAACCGTGGCTTAAATTTAAGCCGCGACTCAAGCTATTTAAAATCGGTCTCAGGATAAATAAAAGTATAGATTTTTTTAAGGCTAAGCTTGTGAAGTACCGCGGTGAGGCTGAGGATGCCCGGAGGCTGGTAGCTGAGCTAGGAGGTCGATCTAGAGAGGATGTGGAATCTATCGCCAGCCTCAAGGCAGAACTAGAGGACTCAAATAATAGGAACCAGACACAACAGGTCATTTTTTTTAATGTTTAGTCATCTTTGCTTAACTTTGAAGTGGTTCACAATTAATAAAAGTGTTTATATTCCGTTGTCGGAGAACAAAGAGAAGCGGGCTGAAATTGTTTGGTTTGGTTTCTCGTCTCCGAGAGGAGCTTTTAGGTTGAAGGCGACATTACATGGAGGGGGGGGGGTCTTAATGTTAATGGTTGACACCGATACTCTTGTTTTTCCCTGTAAACCCGGTTTTCTTGTAATTTTCGAGGGTTTTATGAAGAAAAAATCCATTTGTAAATCTAAATCTTGTTTTATGTTTTTATTTAATTTTAAACTTAATATTTTTGTATTGTTCTATGGGACTGCAAGAAAATCATTGATAAATTTGCCACATTTACAAAAAAAATTTCGATGGGTATTTTGCTCAGAAAGTATTGGTTAAATGTGTTCCTAATCTCAAAAATTGTTTTTTTCGTATTTTTAATGGGGAGAACAATTCCTTTAATGCAGTTAATAAATAAGCGTTAAAAGATAAGTAATTATATTCCGCAATGGTGGCATGATTTATGCTTGATTGTTATATATTTATATTTTAATCTCAAGATAATAATAACCGTCATTTATAAAGAAAATAACATTAAACAATTTTAAAAGTTTACAATTTAATACTAATACTCTTTTCTCTGGATATCGCATTTTATGATTAACAGGGTTTGCCAAAAAAAAACAGGTGCCATACAAGACTTTTAGCGTGAGTTTAGTTATTCAGATGTGGTTTTCAGAAATGGAGTCTCTTGTTCCCAGTCTAGTGTTTTTCGTTTTATAAAAACATGGTATGATGACAGCACTGCAAGGCTCGATTGATTTTTGAAACTAACACTGGGTTTGCAGTTTCTTTAGATTTGCTTTATTTGATGGTGAGATATGTCCTCTTGAGTCGACTTCGAAAGGGTGAACAGACACATCCCTATTTGTTATATCTTTGATAAAATGTTCACATTTGTTCATCTTTAGAGTGTAGAAGGGTATGGGACGGATGTCGGCATACATCAAAAATCCCTCAATATTAATTAATCCAGTGATATATGTAATAAGATTGTTGGGCCTCCAAGTATATCTTTTTTGGTGTAGTGCAACCTTGCAGCCATTCAAAATATGGTTTGTAATTTCTTGTCTTCTACCTTGCAATTCAGTGCCTGCCTGTAAACATAGTTTACAGAGATCTGATGCAGATTTTCCCCATTGTAGAAGGTTAGTTAGTGTTGGCAGGGTGTCCAAACAGGAGTTGTGAAGAAATTTCAATGTACCCTCTTTTATATTATTATTTTAATCTCAATTGATACGATTATTTTGTTCTCTTTGCTCATTTTCCCTACTTTTTTATCCCCACTCTGTAAGCTCGTATTCTTTCCTCTTTTTGAATATGTCATTTTACACTTTTTATTGTCAACCAATAATATGTCATTTTACACTTTTTTATTGTCAACCAATAATATGTCATTAACACCTTGTTAACCATTCAATAGTAAATCTAAAGGTTCTGTATACAGGGGATTTTTTGGGAAATTTTGTTTTTATAAAAGAAATTCGCAAACTTTTTAAAGTATTCAAGATCTGGATCCGGATCCGAATCTAAATGAAACTGATCCTTCCCACTTTTCTGAACAAAATATTATTTAGATCCTGCATAAATCTGAGATAGAAGAGTGGAAGGTACGGGTTGAGGAGGAACAGGAGAAATATAAAACTATCTCAGGACTTAACTCTCTACTAAGGAGGGAGAGGGATGATATTAGACAGGTAATAAAAGTGACATGTGCACGTAAATTTACTTGACCCTCCATATTCACAATGTTGTCCTTAAACCTCTGTCTGAGTATGAATGTGGCAGATGTCGATTTTTTCCTGCTTAAAACAATGTTTAATTTTATTAATTTCCTTCATTGTCTACTATCTTTGAGGCATAAATGCGTAAGTCACTTTTAGGAAGAAAAAAATTGAAACTACGAACTCTGAAGCTTTAACCCTTACATTTTTAATTTCATAATTCATAATTAGATGAATGTATAAACTTGATTATATTATAGGAAGTTGAAATCCAAAGAGGGGTTATCAGTAGTTTGGAGGTCGAACTTAAACGGTCTCGTGATGAGACAGAACGGGTTCGGAGGTCGAGGTCAAAATTTGAACCTAAAGGTGATCTGGACGCTGCTCTGAAAGCTCTGATAGCGCTGAGGAGAGAATATTCTGACCTCAAGGTGACTTCTGTGCGGGAGCTTGGTAAGATGAGGGTCGAGGTCGCGAATATGGCGAGGATGACCTCAATAGCCTGCATGGAGATCAGTTCTAGATCAAACTTTATCAAGGACAGTCGTGGACGGGAGATTGATATTGGATCCGTTTCCCAGTTATATGAGAAGTATGAGAGAATGAAAAAAGAGAAAGATGATTTGGAGGAAAAACTTGAAACTGCGGAGAAATCTGTTCATCTAGCAACCAAGAAGATTACACTTCTAGAACGACAAAATCCAACCCAAGGAAGCGTCTCAGAGGCTCGGAAAGAGCTCATTTTAGAAGATCCAATCCGTGGTGTAAGATTAGGAAAACTCGAGGGAGAAAATGTGCTCCTCAGGTCCAGCCTTCAGGATGTAGCATCAATGGTGGATTTGGGAGCAGAGAGATCAGTTCTAATAGGACCAGGATCTAAACCTCGGCCAGTTACTCCACAAAGATCAAGAAGAACACGATCTGCTAGTCCTGCCATGATAGAATCAACAGTTGCTGCGGTTCAATCCGTTCTAAACCAGCGACAGGTTGAGAAACATGATCTTCAAGGACGGTTGGATTCTCTCCGGGATAAGTTTGAGCAGGTGAAGAAGAGTGAGGGAAGGTGGGAGACACGAACCAAGCTTCTGGACTCTGAACTAACTACCACCAAGGAGGAACTAAAGATTCTTCGTAAAGAGTTTAACGAGACTAAAGAAGACCTAGAAGAGACAGCTAGAAAGCTGGCACAGACAAGAAAGGAGAAAGAAGAACTTTTTCAAAAGTGGAAAACTTTAAAAGATGAAACAGATTCTACTTCAAGTGCATTTAAAGAAATCCAAAGACAGAACGTAAAACTGGAAAAGAAGACTGAGAACTTGAGTTCTGAAAACTCGAGGTTAGAGGAGAGGGTGTCAGATTTAGTAAATGATGCGAAGGAGAGTGGTATCTTGATCTCCCAGCTGGAGAGGGTTGGAAGCAGTTTGAGAGAGGAGGCAGGGGAGCTCAGGGAGCGTTTAGCAGCTGTAGAACGGGACCAGGAGAGGTTGGAGAGAGAACGGACAGAGAAGGAGACGATCATTACAGAGGAGAAACTAAACTCAACCACCATCAGCTCCCAAATCACTAAGATGGAACGGCAGGAGAAGATACTTGTTGAGAAAGTTCTCCTGCACGAAGAGACGGAGACTAAGCTTAAGGCGGAGATCTCTCTGTCTCAGGGGACGATCTCCGGGCTTCGGGAGGAGATATTAGAGTATGAGACAAGACTGCTGAGACTAGAGCAGGAGTTGGAGGAGATGAAACAGATGAACGTGGAGCATGGGACGGCTCAAGAGATCCTGGAGAGGGAGTTGAGGACAGTGAAGGGGGAAAAGACAAGGCTAGAGAACCAGTTAACCAGCCTCAACCTCAGGAAGGATGCAATGGAGGACAGGAATACAAACCTGCAAGAAGAGATCAGACAACTCAAGGTTTATAATTTGTGCAGCAACATTTTCAATTCATCATCATTATCATAATTATTATTTTTTTTCAGTGTCATTCCAATTTCCATTTCCATTGCCATTTCCACTGCTATAGTTACTGAATACTGACATTATCATTAATTTATTTTTATTATTATCTTTATTTATTGTATTTAAACTAACAATTGTTCTAGATGCAACGAGAAGAGATTAGTTTCACCAACGCCTCTCTGAATGAGTTGAAGGAAGGATTGGAGGAGAGACTGGAGCAGAAGCTCCGTGAGCTGGAGGAGATAAAGGAGAAGTTCTCCAAGCTGGAGGTTGAACTGGAGCAGGAGCAGGTTGGAGCTGACGAGCTCCGGCAGGAACTGGAGGAGGAGGAGATAAGACGGAAAGACCTGACTGAGGAGAATGAAGAGAAGAGTTCTGAGATTGAGAAATTAAACCAGCAGATCATCAACATCAACAACAAGCTCCTGGACTCAGGACACCAGCTTAACAGGATCAGGGAGGAGATGGAATCAGAGTTGGAAGAAGAGAAAAAGAAACTTAGAAAACGAATCCGGAGATTGGAAGAGGAGAAGGATGCGATTAAAGATGAATTGGAGGAAGAGAATGATATAAAGCTGAAAGAACTGGAGAACAAAAAGCAGAAAGAAATTAAAGAGCTTGAGATGAGAATGAAGCAGGATCAGATCAAGTTCGAGGATGAACTAGATTTTTGTAATCAGATGATTGAAAACCTACGAGCAAAGAACCAGGAGTCCCTGTTGATGGCCGAGAACTCCCACACCACCTCCCAGCGTATGACCGAGACCGAGGAGATGATTGCCTCGGAGCGGATCCAGGAGCTCGTGGGTCAGGTGGAGGAGCTCAACAACAAGCTCAACCATGACAAGAAGGAGTTCATCCTTGAGCTAGAGAAGGAGAAATCGAGGAGCAGTGAAATCAACCTGGAGATGAAGAAGATGAAGACTAGACAAGAAGAACAGATTACAGTCACTAAACAAGAGAAAGAAGCGCTGAAAGATGAAATGAAAAAAGTGAAAATGGATAAGGAGAAAGCAGATATTCAGTTCTATCAGCTCAAAGATAGAATTGTCGATTACGAACGACAGATTGAAACCCTTCGATCAGAACTGAAACAAGCCGAAGATAGAATTAAAACCTTCGACAGGGAGGATGAGAAGAGAAGAAAGGATGTGCAAGATCTAGAATCTAAACTCTTGGAGAGAAATAAACAAATTCAGGAGAAAATCCTGGAAAAGCAGCGGGAAACGGAAACCCTAGAACGAAAGCTGGTGACCGTGGAGAGGAATGAAACCCTGCTCCGGGAAGAATTAACAGAAATCAAAGAAACCCTTAGCATTCATCAACTGGACTACAGGTTAGATATTTTATCAATAATAAAACTTAGAAAAATAGCATTCATCTAGATTTAAAGGGACTGTAAACGTAATTTCAAGTAACCCTCAAATCAAAGATGGCAATGCCCGATTGTAACCATTCAAGACCTAATTATCTGATCAAAAATGTGGAAAATATTGTAGTTTTCTAGGTTTAAAAACGTTTTATCCTGATAATTCCTGCAGTCACTTTTGTAGAGAACACACAATTGAAAAAAATCAGTTTTTAAAATTTTAAACATTGAAATCTAATTCACAGTTGATCAGACAAAGCTTTTAAGGGTAGCGTTGCGAATGGGGCATTGCCATCTTTGCATGGAGGGACACTTGACGCTTACAGTTCCTGAGTCCCTTGAATATATCCTTCTAGACCAAAAAATCTTTAAGAATTATCCGAAAAACACACTGGGAAGAGGAAGACGACATTTGAACAAAGATTTCTTAAATGGTCTAAGTTTGTGGCAAAGACTCAATTCTATTGGATTAAATTAAATAAAGATATTTTCAAGATTAATATCAACGTTTTATACCTAAATATCAACATGGATTTGTTTCAGTTCTATTTCTGAGGAGACTGAACGATTAAGAACTCAACTGAGAGAACAAAGCACAGAGTTGGAACTCTTGCGCGCAAACCTGGCCACAGAGAGCGCGCGAAACAAGGACGTCGGGAGGATGGAGGAGTTGAGAAGGAAGATGGAAGATCTCAGCTTTGAGAAGAAGAAGTTAGATCATGAATACAAGGATACAAGAAGACGGATGGAAGACGACAGAGAAAGGTTGGATTTTACTTTATTGATTTAATATTTTTAGTTTTTTATATTTTAATATGTTTTAGAAGATTGCATAGAACTTCAGATTATTGTGCCTTTAACAGTCTACTTCACAGCAAATCTCATATTAGCTTTTTTTTAAGATATTGAAATTGACCGATCATATTTTTTTATGTTTCTTTGGTTGTTAAATTTTGCCTTTTTAGTCCTACATGAATTTCATTCTTTCATTTTATACAAATTCTTAAATGACACAATTCAGAGACTATTCGCATTTATTAGTAAATGAAATTACTCATCAACTTAAGTCATTTACACAAAATGATTTCCATTTCTAAACTCAATATCCCCTAATTTATAAAACAATATTTCCTTGACTTTTTTAAACATTTTTATTTATGGGGGATCACTTTTCAGAGTTCTTTTAAATGTTATGATTTTTCTATCAGGTATGAGAGTCAGATACTTGCTCTACAAGAGAGTTTATCAGAAAGTAGAGAGAGGGAGAAGGGATTAGAGACTGTTAGACATCAGCTAGAGAAACAGCTGACAGCTACAGGTAACTGTTTGACAGCTAGAGAAACAGTTGACAGCTACAGGTAATTGTTTGATACCTAGATAGACAGCTGACAGCTACAGGTAACTGTTTGACAGCTAGATAAACAGCTGACAGCTACAGCTAACTGTTTGACAGCTACATGTATCTGTTAGACGTCAGCTAGAAAAACAGCTGACAGCTAAAGTTAACTGTTAGACATCATCTAGAGAAACAGCTGACAGCTTCAGGTAACTTTTAGAAATTATCTAGAGAAACATCTGACAGCTACAGGTAACTGTTAGAAATCAACTAGTGAAACAGCTGACAGCTACAGGTAACTGTTAGATATTAGCTAGAGAAACAGATAACAGCTACAGGTAACTGTTTGACAGCTAGATAAACAGCTGACAGCTACAGGTAATTGTTAGATACCTAGATAGACAGCTGACAGCTACATTTACTAGTAATATGAAAGATATTAATAATGTATTTTTATACAGGACAAAAGTACGATAATAATGTATTTATGTACAGGATAAGAGTACGATAATAATGTATTTTTATTTATTTATTTATTGGGGGGATTTTCAGATTTAAATCTTTATCTTTATCTTTACAGGACAAAATTACGATAATAATTTATTTATGTACAGGATAAGAGTACGATAATATTGTACTTATTTACAGGACAAAAGTAGGATAATAATGTATTTATGTACAGGATAAGAGTACGATAATATTGTATTTATGTACAGGACTAGAGTGCGATAATAATGTAATTATGTACATGACAAGAGTACGATAATAATGTAATTTTGTACATGACAAGAGTACGATAATAATGTAATTATGTGCATGACAAGAGGAGATAATAATGTATTTATTTACAGGACAAAAGTAGGATAACAATGTAATTATTTACAGGACAAGAGTACGATAATAATGTAATTATGTACATGACAGGAGTACGATAATAATGTAATTATGCATAGGACAAGAGTACGGCAATCTTGTTGTACGGCTGCGAGGTGCTGAAGGGCGACTACGGGAGATGAACGAGAATGTTGTAAAGCTGGAGGCGAGTAAAGGCGAATATGAGACAAGACTCGCCATTGTTAACTCCGCCTTACAAAACTCCGCCCTACACAACTCCGCTGCGCAGTACAGAAGCAGAGGAAACACACCCACTCGTGTTAGCCGGCCTAGATACAGGTAGAAACGGAATCTGGAAGCTGGTTTACGGCTTTTACAGGGTGTTACAATACACATGGAAATTAAGAGACGACTTGAAAATTGATTTTGTTTTCCACAACAAATGAATTAAGTGAAAGATTTTAAAAAGATTGATCACTGTACAGTTTTGGGCTTTACATAGTCTCATACATTCTTTGTGACGTAAAACATGCCTAAGATTAGGATGATTATGTTTATAAAATAGTGAAAATCGTCACTTAATGTTCATTGGGATACACAATAGGATAAACTGAGCTCAAGGTTTATAGTTTCTCTTGAATTTTAGTTCCATCGTTGTACATTTTACAGTGATCACCAGAAATCTCTGAAAAAGGAAGACGACTTTTAGACTCCAGCATGCGAATGAGCATGTGACTCAGCAATTATGCAGAATAAACAGACCCATTTCACTTAATTTGTGATTAAAGAAGTGTCTAATAAAACTATTTGCATTGTTACAAGCTCTAATACACTAACGTATTGCTAATTGCTATTAAATTATAATTTTCTAATCTCTATGTCTTTGAAGCCTAATGGTGTAAACTTTTGATATTTAAAATTTTAACTTTTAACTACCAGTTTGAAACATCATGTTGGAAAGAGATGTATAGATTTGAAAGTTATAGTTTTGTGCAAGTGTTTTTCATTTTCGATCTGAGGGGTTAACATTCAATCCATGTGTAATTTTATAATAGTATTTTCTAAATATGTTGGAGTTTTAAAGCTCTAGTGGAAGGAAATGTAAGATGAATTGTAAAAATAATATTTACTTGAGATTTTGTATCTGATTGTGTGTGTGAGACTAATTTACAATTTTGACAGAAAGGACGACATTTAATGACTTGTATGGTTTGTTAGGTCCGGAGATAGTTCTCGACGGGATGGAGATGAGGTTGATTTTCTCCGAACTAACACGAGAGATTCCTCCAACAGAACTGATAGAGCTGAGCGAGACAGGTAGTTCGGAATTAGAAGCAATTTAAAGGGACTGTACGTATAATTTCAAGTGTTCTTCTATTTTTAAAGTGGCATGTCCGATTCACAACAATATCCTTTAAACCTTTGTCCCATCAAGGATCAATGCGATATTCTTGTTTTTCTATCCGAATATTGATTATTTTAGATTATTGTTTTTTTTATATTATTTGGGGACACCCACTACAGAGATAAAAGAGATGATTGTGTGGATATAAGAATTGTAAGATAAAACGACAATGTTTCCATGATTACTACTCGTAATAAGGTTTACTAAGGTTTACTAATAAAGGTTACTTGAAATTAAGCGGATATAGCCTATTATCACGATGGCGGTTGGGGGATTCCACATTGAGAATCTTTCCTAGATCTTTACTTATTTATTCATTAATGTTCTTCATATTATGTTCTGTATAATACGTAGTCGTTCTTTTAAGTTTTCCTCTGTATTTTAGTTTATGTAAATAAGATAAAGCTGAAATTATTAAAAACATAAATTCTAGATATTTAATTTCTTCATCAGATATACTATTAATGTATTCTCATTTATCAACTAATCGATTTTTCACACTACAAAATCAGCATCATTTCTGTTCAAAAATTTCAAGGGCAGAAGGGTAGAAATGTTCAAAAAGAAAAAAATTACAAAAGATTTTTTTATTTTTACTTGAGCTTAATATAACCTCAGGAAATTCTACAATATGCATGTGATGTTTAAATTTATAGTAATGATTATTTTAGACTGGAGAGTACTGCTAAAATTGACATGCTGAAGCGCTCCAATGAAGACTACGCCAAAATCCTCGCCAAGTTGCAGGAAGAAAAGTTCTCCCTAGAGCAAAGGTTGGCCTCCAGTCAACTTCAATTAAGCAAACTCGAGAAGAAAGTTTTGACCTCCGATGAAATTCTAGCTGAGCGCGAGGAAACCATCGAATCCCTGAAATCCTCGACAAAAAGTTTTGAGCGGAAAATCCGCGAACTGAATTCTGACCTTGAGAGTGCCAAAGATGATCTGAAAAGAGCTGAGGACAAGGTTAAAGATGCGGAGGAGAGAACAAGGAAGTATAAGAACGAGGTTGGAAAATTATCAGAGAACGTGAACGAAACCGAGGATAACCTCGGTAGATTAGAAATCCTGAAACGACATCTGGAGACAGAGAACAGCAAATTGAAAGAAACCTTGACAGAAAGAGAATCAGCGACAAAGGTAGGACAATCCTTGTTAGTACAGATTTCATATTAAAGAGATCCTTTGGAAAAAAAGATACACAGAAATCTTTTACTTCAACTTTGTTATTTCTTCTAAGTATTATTAATATAAGGTAATTATCTACCCAAATGTCAAAGATATAATTTTTTCAAAGTATAAAGTGAATTAAGTCTGTATTTTATATCTATCTTGTTAGCTGACTGATAACAGTTGTCAATTTTTGAATATCAATTATTTGATAAATTAGTTATTTTCTTTTCTAACGACTTCATTCTTCAGGGTAAGACGTATATTTTTAGTTTAGTTGGATGATGTTTTTGGCATTTTTAAGGTTACCCCTAAATAATAAAAAATCCTATTAAAAAATTTTAAAAATTTTATGTGAAAGAAAAATAGAGCCTGTTATTGAAGGTTTTTAAGTGGTAGTGGTAGTGGTACCAGTAATTTCTCATTATGGAACTAAATAACAGCAACAAATTCTTTTTTTATAATCCCTAAACCTTTGCAACCTGATGTCGTTGACCTTTAAGGTTTCAAACTATAAATTATGTTAGATTAAATAGTCTAAGTTTGAAATATCTAAGGTTTACACTGTCAGGTTGCAAAGATATAGAAATTAGAAAATTAGAGTTGGTGGCGAGTGTTCAGGTCCTTCGACCTCTTCTTTAGATTTGAGTGTTTTGTCAACTATATTTCACACAACGAGTTAAAGTACGAAACAAAAACCTATTGTAATCACATGTTTTTAACGGATTACAGACTTTGTTTCAGAAAAAGTGCAAACAAATCGAAACCCTGTTTTTCCGTTATGCCTAAAGCTCAGGATGCATAAATACTTGTAAGTATAAGTATTTAATAGATAGGCAGATAGTTATCTACTTAAGCGGGAAATGACTAGTTTTGTTTATTTATGTTATCTTAACGTACGTTGATAGCATTTTTTGCACAAGTTTAAGCAATTTGAAAAAGAAAGATGGAGGGGGAAGGTGTATTAATGAATTATTGTATCCACGAGAAATATTGTGAGACATGAGAATGAATATTGAATACTAATGTTTACTCATGTTTCATAAAGTAAATAAGATAAGAGTCTGAGCGCTGGAAAGAGCACACTATAAAAACTATAAAACTATAGAACAATTATTTCGCGGTTTTATTACAAATTCTTCGCAGTTAGAAGTAATGCCCTTTGGTTTTAAATTCTTTGTTGATGCAATTTCACTGGGTGTCAGCTATACACAAGTTTTATTCCACCATTGTTTTTTTTTAACTTGATATTTAACTGGCATTTGTTGCGGCTCTGTTGTATCCGGATCGCTTAGAAACAACAGCTCCCACCAGAGCGATCAGTATAATTGCTCCAACAACACACCCCAGGATGATTGCAATCATGGTCCAGTTCATGTCCCCCTCGGGACCACATTCACCTTCCATCATGTACAGGATAGATTTCTTGTTGTCCTGAAAAATATATGTGCATTTTTGTGGTTACTTCTTAAAACTACTATCAGTCAATATTGTGAAAGACTGACTCATCCGAATCCTACCTTGGCCCCGTTTAAACTTTGATGGTGCGGCTAGAATGTTTACAGTACCCAGCCTAGCATAGGCTTATTTGACCTACCCAACTAGCTTAATTCAGGGTTTTCTATTTAGTACCTGGTTTCCATCAGCTTTCCACTCAACATAGCTGCAGAGCATTTCATCATCATGATCTGTACAAGGGCTTGCACACACCTATGAAATAAATACAATTAATAAATGAAAAGACATGACAAGAATTATAAAAATTTCTCTACCTTTCCCTCATGAGTGTATTCAAGAGCAGCTGTCTTGGTTGAGTCAAAGTCCCAATTACCGCATGCTTCAAATGTGCTGTTGTTATTGCTGATGCGGCAAGTAAGGTGGTTGGTCTGAGCCTCAGGCCATACAGCACACTCGCTCAAACATGCTGTTCCTTTAGAGGAGAACTTGGGTGTTCTGCTGCATAGATCTTTTCCCATCAGGGTTCTAGATAACATTCTTTTGTTAGTACTCATTATTGGTTAGTCTGTTTAAAGGTATAACTTCTGATCATTGTGATGCACAATTTGAAGCCTTATGATAATAATCATGATTCTGATCATATGAGAAGAAAATGAAAATATTAGATGATAGAAAGACATTCCCACAACTCTTACAAATCATGGGTATAAATGGATCATCATTTGAAATTAGACCTGCACATATCTCCAATGTTGTTTGGACTTGGTTCACAAGGTCCAGTGCACCACAGCTTGTTGTGACTGGTGATCTGTTTTCGTTCAAGAGGATAGTCAGGACTGCAGTAGAACTCTTGGGTAGAACCATCATAGGTGCACTTGTATGACTTATCATTGGTCATTTTGCAGGGGGAGTTACAGAGAATTCCAGGAATTGAGGTTCTTGTTGCTGATGCTCCTGGGTTAAATCCCTGTCCTCCTTGCCCACTCTGGCCTCCGTCATTCCTGTTTCCAGGGTTAAAGCCTCCCTTCATTCAAAATTCTATTGTATATTTGGCTCTGAGCTACTAAATAAGAGGGTGCAGATAAAATGTGAATTTTTTGGTCCTAACGTTCTAATTTATTCTAGATTGGAGGATCGCTTTTAAAATGACCACAAAATAAAAAAGAAGCAATTATAGGTATTGAGTCCCATGAAAAACCCATAAACTTTTTCCTACTTGTTGGTTTTGTTGTTTCTACTTGAAACGGATTCATATCTAGTTAAGAATTTTGATTGCCTGTGACTGGGTATTGTTGACTGGTTTCGCAATAGTCTCACTGTTTGCTGGATCATCCTAGATTAATTAGAATAATATGTTTTGTATTAACAATTTTTATTTGGATTTGCTTTCAACGTCGGCTTTTCAATTCATTTGCTTGGGTGAGAAAGAAATTGTTAAAATTATATTTTTTCCCCAAAATTTGGTTTAGTGGTAAACCATATAAATCATTTTGATTTTTAAATATGTTGTAAACCCTCTCATATAGTAGTTGTTCAGTGGATATCAAGTAAATGTGGTCTTATCAACAGCTTTAATTTAGCTTCCGGGGGAAAAATCGGAATTTTTCCTGTTTACATTTGTTTGTAACTTTGGAATTTTTTTCCGGTTTACAGAATGGAAACTGGAAATTTCCGGAATTCCAGAACGTTCCGGGAAAATTGTAGGTTCCTCTTAACGATTTTTCCATAAACTGGAGTTTTCCGGAATTTCCAAAATTTTCCAAAATTATGGAACAGGGTTCCGGAAATCTTCGGTTTACGGATAAATCAGGTAATGCCAGTGTCTGGGTAACCTACTCAAACAGGTATTAATCCCTGGTCTTTTATCCTGACAGTGGGGCTGTCTGGGGGTTCCATGATAATTATTATTATTATTAATACATATCCTGTTTACCTGCTCTAAGCTGACAGACTTAGCTGGTGTACAGTAATCCCAGGGGAAATCATCATTATCCAGTGACGGGATTGGGTCATTAATTCCAGGTCTACTGGAGGCAGCCTGGTTGCTTGGTCGGAATTCCTGGGAGAACAAATATTTGATTTAGAGCGTTGTAATTTTATAAATCAATTTATTTAAATTAATAAATGCAGCAATCTCTTTTGTCCGTTGGAAAATAAATTTTTTAAATCTTTTTTTATTTGGGAAAAGTACATCACTTTCACTCGTTTTTCTTTGGAAAATATTGAAAACTGGCCACTACTGAGCAAGGAGGTTTAAGATTAATGAAAGGCCCTGAAAATGTTATTGTTTTTACCTTATTGAGTCCATCAACAGTATAACATGCATATACTTCTTTGCCCTTCTTTTCTCGAGCTGTACATCTAATAATGATAATAATGATAATCTAAATGTAATGCTACATTTTATGATTTACAAAACTAAACAATTTTAGCAGAAACTGTCTGCTAAGCGCCCCTTTTCTTTTTAATGATATTAAAATCACTTTACTGAAAAAAAAAAATAATAAAAGCAGCAAAGAATTTGAGATAGTATCAAATCACAAGCGGTTTCATATTTTGTATAAAGGGTCGATTCGACAACATTCCTTTGCTTACCTTTCTATGCAATGCTGATGCCGACTTGTAAACCATTCATTACCGGCTACAGCTACGACAAGGGTTACTAAGCAGAGAAAGGTCTTCATTCTTCAAGCAAACACGGTAGAATAGTTGAATAGGCAGCCTCAAGTTGTGACTGATATGAAGCCTGGAGAGATAAGGAACTTTACAATTGTGGTAGAAAACAATCATTCATGGTACAGTGAGACCCATAAAGCTGAGGAATAGGAAGATGACTAACGACAAAAATTTAAACTGATTAGTCAAATAAACTGGAACACATAATGAAGGAGGATTGCTAACATCAAAGACTATTACAAAGTTCTAAAATTTGATTTTTAAATTCTTAATGTTGGATTAACTATAATTTATTTCTGCAACTTCCTTTTCTCTTACTTTTTTACTTTATAATTTTTAATTTTATTTAAGTTTTATTTAATACTAAAATAAATTGATTTTTCTGTTGAACTGAACCTGAAACAAACTAGTAAACACAATGTAAAATTCAAAAAAGGCTTTTAACGTTAATTTAAATTGGTTTTTATAAACTAACGTGACTCTAGGAAACCAATTCTAGGTAATAATTCAGAAAGTTTCAAAATTCTCTCATGAGAAGCCTTGGAGAAAATAGTTATAAGCTGATATTGGATGGGTCAGTCGGCAGAACAATCTAGTGCTGATTTCAAGAGTGTACGAGGTTTGGAAGTCTCTTTTTGAAGTGTCTTCTATACATTTAACAAACAGAACACACAACCATTTTAACAATTGTGCAGTGTACACAGACTTACTTCACTGAGTGAGTTGGTTTCCAAGAAATTGGTAAGTCTAAATGCTTTTTAGAAGCATTAATAACTCATAAGTTGGCTAAAATATCGGTTTGCTTTTCCACAATTTATGGGCTAAGTTTATCCTAGGGATCAATAAGTTTGTTTTTAATTAAAACATTCTCAATAAGTCTTACCAAAAGGAAACTAATTCAATATTTATGGCTTTATCCCCTTGGTAAAAATAATCTAAAATACTTAATATTTAAGAGAATTAAAAAATGACCAACATTAACTTATAAACACAAAAGAAGATCACGTTTAGAAAAGGCCAATACTGTTTGTATTTTATGATTGTTGTTTCATGAATCATACTATAGTCAAATTAGAAATACCAATGAAGACGCGACATTAAGTGCTAGGATGAGTAAGATAAGTTCTTAGAATTTTCAAGGTTTTATTTGCTACTCAGAATTCTATTTGTATTGTGATTATTTTCTTATTTAAAAAAGCAAAAATGATGTCCTTCTGATGGAACGGACAGGAGAGTTATATCGTCGGACCTATGAAGTATGTTTTTAAGTTTGATTAAGCTAAGGCAATTTGAGATCCTATACAAAGTGTGGATATTCTAGCAGATCGCATCAAAAATTTATCAATTTGTGTATTGCTTCATTAGCAAACATTTTATCCTATAATACTTATCATGCATTGAAAACCAAGAGGGCAGTCGCTGGTAAGAGTCTTTTATAAAAGCGAATATGTTTAAGACTCTAGTTAGTGGCTGAAATTGGGATTCTGGCACAATGTAGTGGTTATACTTTGATTTTTTCGACCAATCTCATATATTATGAGACAAAATAGCCGAGAAATACCATAATAAAAGCAAATATTTAATCAAACCGTCTACAAGCTATAAGACCTTTCTCCAAGCATGACTTAGTATCATTGATTTCAAGTTTGAGGACTGGAAGGAGGGCACCCTGAAAATTTGATTTGATTTGATTTGATTAAAGATACCATAGATAGATAGTATAAAATAACGGGTTTCCCACTTGTCTGATCTGTGTAATCTGTTGAATTATTTAATATAGTTACAGTCAGACCTCTTTATTATTGAGGTTTGTATCTTGACATTAGAAATTATTGCTTAGTCAACTCATGGCTTTATAATGCATAATTGATAATCATTTACAGGGTGTTAGGACATTTCATTACTTGATTTTGATTTATAATTTTGGCTTTTCTGTTTGTCTCAAAACGGCTGAACCGATCGAACCCAAATTTTTTGGCAACTCACCACATGAGCCTAGGAAAGTTTTGTTGCAGGTTGAAATAGAAAAAATTTTCACGGACATTTATTATTTTGAAGATGAATCAATGTGTACATAACAATCCGCGGAAATTTAAAACAATTTAAAATGCTGGCCTTTCAAAGAAAGGAAATGATTTTTTGCAACAAACTCAAATTTTCGAATTCATTTATCTTTGCAATCTGATGATGTAAACCTATAATATTTCAAACTTATGTTATTAGATCTAACAGAATTCATAGTTTGAAATAACAAGAATGTCTACGACTTCGGGTTGCAAAGATAAACGGATTAAAAATTGAGTTTGTTGCAAGAACTCATCTTCTTTCCCAACACTTTCGGCACTAATTTATGTTGTATAATCATTGTGATTTAATATTAAACAAACTCAAATCTTATCTGATGAAGAGATTATTTAAATTTACTGGTCCGTTTTTCTGACCTCAAAGTTATTGTGTTTAAAATATTCCAATCTTAAGAAAATCACATTTATTTGGTTAATAAAATTTCTTGACGATAGATATTAAGAACATGGAGCTGAAATTATACTTAACAATTCAGTTTACTTGCATGATTTAGACATACAGGGTTGCTCACAAAGGATGAGACAACATGGACTACTGGAAACCCTTTGACTTTCTCATGATTGCAGGGGATCATAAATATAAGGAAACGAACACCATAAAGTCGTCTTTAAAGTCTCACCCTGTGCACTGATGTTTATTTTATATTCCGTTCACAACTTTGTATAGACTAAATTTGAAAATGCATTAAACAAGAATAACAAGCTTTTTCTAAATGAACTAGGTTTTTAGGGCGCTTCGCGCCCATCTTCTTTTTAAATTGTGGACATTCTTTTTGTTTACATTTAAAAACAAAGAAGAAAATAATTTTGCGGATTTTTAAAAAAAATTCGCGGATTTTCAAGAGTTTAAATTTTTTTTACAAAATTAAAAACTTTTAAAACACATTTTTTTATTTGTATCATTCATAAACCTTCCCTGTGGTCACGTTATGTCCCACAAAAAATTTGGGCCCAATCGGTTCAGCCGTTTTGACGTTTATTGGATATAAACTAACAGACAGACAGACAAACAAACAGACAAGCCAAATTTATATTTAGATAGATTTTGAAGTTTTCTATTAATATTATTATCACAATTTTATTTGCAGGTATATGAGGGTAAGATTGAGAGGCTGCGTGATGAGGTTGCCGGGCTGGAAACACACAGCAACAGGTTGACTGCTCAGCTTAACAGAACTCAGGCGGAACTAGACAGAAGCTCTAGAGCAGAGCGTGATATGGCAACCCAGGTAAACACATTTTGTGAGTTTTAAAAGCTTATTTTAGAAGCTTATTTTAGAATAGTCAATGAAGGGTAATACATGTTTAGATTGAACGATTGGAAAATGAACTCTCCGCTGGAAATCAGGAAATGGGCGGAGCTGTGCAGGAGGCGGAGCAGCTAAGGCGGAGAAATACAGATCTAGATCAGGAAAGGCGGATGCTAGAGGATCGTCTGGAAAACAGTAAATCTCTGGCAGAGTCCCTACGCAAGAAGGGGCGGGAGGCGGAAGAGAGGATTGGTGATGTGTTGCGGCGGTTAGATGAGGCAGAGAAAGGGAGAAAAGAGGCGGAAGATAGATTAGTAGCGGCAGGATCAAACTCTGGGGCAGATAATTATCTCAAGGTAGATGATTTTAACTTTGTTACGCAAATTTTTTTTCAATATGCTTTTTGTACATAATATGGTTTAGGTTGTTACGATCAAACAATTGACCAATCAATCGAACAACTAACTTACTAATTGTCAGATTTATCTAATAATTGACAGTCCAATGAAATGCCTGACCAGACAACTGACAGATGACTGACCGACTGCAACTTATTGACCAAACCACTCAATTCACCGACCAATATAGTTGATTAACTGATTGACCAAACAATGACCTACAGGATGACCGACTGACTGGTCGAATGATTTAATGACTGATTGACTAATAAACTAACTGAAGCATAGACTGATAGACTTACTAATAGACTAGTTGACGGCCATTTGACCAATTCACCAACAGACTTGTTAACTGACTAAACAATAACTTACTGATTGACTGACCTAATGAACTAATGACTGATTGTAAAGGAGGAGCTAAATAAGGCTCGGAAGGAGAACCTGGTCCTGGTCGAGAAGACGAGGGAGCTCGAGAAACGAGTTAAAATCATGAAAACTGAAACCAAAGAATCCAGGTAAGGGGGGGGGGGGGCTGAAGGTGCGGATGGATGTAAAACTAAAAGTTTATATAGTGATGGTGACAAAACTCTCTTCGTGTCAGATCTCACAAACATGAAATGATATTCCTGACACTGACACTGCTTTGATAGAATATATGATGACATTTATAGCCCTAAATATGTTTAAATGTTTATGACTAACCAAAGCCTATGAACCGCTTGATATGGTGACGCATGGGGCTCTTTGAGCGTGCATATTCTTAAAATCAAGCTTTTTTCATAGGCCTAAGTTCATAAATAGAAAAGGTGGGCCAAACACAACTTTGTAATTAATGTAGATATTTTAATTTAATTTTTCGGAATTAAATGTTTCTTGTTTAGAATGTACAACACTGAATCTGAGAAGATTGTCAGAACACAGATTCCTATGATGAGTGCCAAGCAGGTTTGTACCCAGGGTGTCAAGAAAACAACTACATAAATTCTTTACAGGGTTTCCCTAAAATTTCGGCTAAATTTCGGGGCTTCAGGAGCTATCAATCAACCAAAGCTTTAATCAAAATGAAATGCATTTTCTATATATTCTATAGCATGGAGTTGCTTTATTTTTGTTAGAAAAATCTGAACAAGATTTTTTAATAGGATGACGTGGTAGAATCCCTACAGCAAGGAATTGAATATCTTTTTTTCATTTTTAATCCTTTCTTTGCGTTCATTGTGATTGAGTAAATTTTTCGTAGAATGGAGGGAAGGAATGCAGTGAACACCTAGTTCGTATCCGTATACTAGAACAGGAGGCGGAGAGATATATCCGCCGAATATCCGCCCTGGAAACTCAGATTCAAGACGCGGAGCGGCGGACACAGGATAGACTTGAACAGGTACAGATGGTAAAAAAACTACAGAAATTGTAAAGAGAATTATCTGCAGAATTTGGAAATTTATTTATTCCAGCACATTACATATTAAAGATATTAAGTAAGCAATAATGCATTTATAAAATATATATGGTTGAGGAGGAAATATTTAAAAACCTCCAAAACAAAAGGTTGTGGGAACATTTCTCCCCAATTCTAAAAAGGAAATGGAAAAGAAAGGAAACTATTACTGTTTACATATTTAAGATAATTTTTAGTGAATAGTTAGCATTCTTCGACGATGAACTCTGACCAGGAATAAGAATTGTTAAAATTGAGTCAGTAAATCCCAAATTAATATTTTTCATCCCATTTTTAGAATTCATATTTTCACAAAATGTTTTTAAACATGATTTATCCTGTTTATTATTTTAGTTGATAAATGAGAAGAGAGTAGAGAGAGAACGAGATCATTCCCGGCATACTCAGGAGATCAAACAGTTAGAACATAGTCTTAATACAAGGGAGAGAATGTATAAGGTGTTCATTCAAACATTTATTCATCATTTTACACATTTATTCATCATTAATTACTGCTTTCATCCATCGTGTTTATCTCAACTATTCATTTATTCATTATTCATTCAGTCATCTTATCATTTTTTATATCTCAGCTATATCTTCGCCCTTTCTCTTCTATTCATCTCACTATTTTGCAATTTATAGAATAATATTTTTAATGTTATGATTCATATATATGACATTGCAAACTAAGAAGGAGATGGACATTTATGCGACGTAACCGGGGAGACTTTGTGACCTCGTTGCTCCTCTAGTTTTGATTTTATGTTTATTTATCTAGTTACACGTAAGAAATTTCAAACTTTGTTGTTCTTCGCTTATACAGCTCTTCATAAAAATGGAGTTTTGATTGAAAACATTTGAGAATAATATGAACTGTATTCCAGGAAAGGATATCAGGGTTGGAAGATCAGGTGCATACACTTCGGGATCAGATTCATGAGGAGGCAAGATCAAGAAGATCATTCATTGCTTCATCACAGGTATTCATCTGCAACAAGCTGGCTCGTTTTTAAGTATACAGTATACATTATCCAGTATACAGTATACATTATACAGTATACAGTATACAGTATACATTATACAGTATACAGTATACAGTATACAGTATACAGTATACAGTATACAGTATACAGTATACAGAATACAGTATATAGTATACAGTATACAGTATACAGTATACAGTATACAGTATACAGTATACTGTATATTGTATACAGTTAAAATTGTTTTTCCAAATATTTGCTTATCTTACACTATGCCAAATTTGACCCTGACAGGAAATTTATGCAAAAAAAAAACCTAACAAAAACGAACGTTTCAAAACGATTGAATTTTTGGATCGTTTTTCCTTAATTTTTTCTCTGAGAAAGAAAATTTTATAAAGTTTAAATAAGCAAGCTTTAACAGAATAAAGTTTTCAAATGTTTTGTTGGAAGTTTCATTAGAAGTTTTTAAAAAAGTCCTCATGCTAAGATGACAATTCCTGATTTACATTGGGACCCTTGCAACCTTGATCTGATCAAAATGTGGAAGATGCTATAGATTTTCTGACTGGAAAGGTGTTTAACTCTGATAATTTCTCTATTGCTTCTTATAAGCAAGAAATGCGCAAGTCAGTTTTGCATAGAAACCGCAAATGAAAATAGTTTCAAAAAACAACAAAAACATGCATGGATATCTATTTCATACGTGATCAGACAAAGCTTTTTAGAATACCGTTGTGAATCGGGCATTGTCATTTTTACATAAAGGGTCACTTAAAACTACGCCCACAGTCCCTTTAATGCTTTGTTTTTTTAGGCAATCTCTGCCGATGTATCCGACCTCAGACGTCAATTAGATCAAAGTTTAGAAAATGTGAATTCTACTTCTAGGCTTGATACTAATCTACTAGAACGGGAAACCAGCAGGTGGGTTAGGTTAATTCAATTAGGCCGGATGCCAACCAGGTGGAATAGTTGAAGAATTATGTATTGACAGCTTAACTCTTATATCCCCGAGATTAGACTATGTTGATCACAATGGCACCACAGAAGTAGTTAAACTAAACTAAATATAGTTAGAGACACTTCAACTACATGACGTTATTCATTCAATCTTAATTCCTAAGTCAGGTTAGAAATACTCTAAAGGTTATAAAGTGTATTTTTGTTTCTCACATCTACAGGATAAAGTTCCTCTGCATCATATTTAATTGATTTTTTTCTTTTTGAAGCATAAGTTGATTTTTTAATTTTTTAAAACTAATCTGAAAATAGTTTTTCTGTTTTATAAATTAATATTAATGCCTTGAATTCGCTTTATTTAAATCCGGATATAGATTTTAGATCCGCAGTGAAAACACAATCCAAAAATTGAACAATTTTTTTATTCAATCTTTATTTTACTGAATTAATAAAATTTATTGTGCTTTCAACTTTTATCGCTAACATCAAACGAACTACTGCTTGATCTGATCATGTACATCAATAAAGTTTTGATCTCATGGGAGCCTGCTTCATATTTTAAACTTAGATCTTTATCCGTGGAATGGATTCGGATCCTAATCAATGATAATTTTACCATTCTCTGACAAACATTACCCAACAGAGAGGAACGTTAAGTTACTTAACATCCCTATGGACAATTGAGTAAAATAATGAACCACTCTGCGAAATTTTCGTAATAAAAACGTCGCATTTTCTTCTCAAGAAATGCTAAAATTATTAACTACTTTTTCGGTAAAATAAAAATTTTTATTTAACCACTGGTTCCAATTCAACCAATTTTTACACAAAACATCCTCTGGATGTTTTGTGTAAAAATTGGTCTTGGGAACCCTTGGCCAAGTAAAATTCCCTCAATTTCCCTGTTAAATAGATATATTGAATATATTCCAGGTTACAGGATAGTTTCAACAGATTCTCCGGTCAAACTCCGACTAGGTTCGAACCCTCCAGGCTCCGGAGCTCGGTCATCAAGTCCAGGTTTGGATCCTTGGATAACCTTGACCAGCTGGTCACCTCGACACCGATCGTGGCCTCCAACTATGCCCCGAGGTCACAGCCTCAAGTTAAATCCTCCCTGGATCCAGGATTCTTCACGGGAGCAACCTCATCACAATCCAGGAATCCATTTTCAAACCAAAATTAAATTAAATCCCTCTTTTGAACGTTGTCGTTATAATATATTTTTTTAAAAGCATGTCTGATTTACAACAGTATTTTTGAAATCTTTCTTACTCTTATCAATAATGTGGAAGAAATTGTCGATTTTCTAGCTTGGAAGTGTTTGAAATTTTACAATTAACAACGAATAAAAAATCCATTCTTGGAACATACTAAGGGTTTAAGGGTACCGCAGTGAATCTTACATCCCACTCTTTTTTAACAGGAGAGTCAATTGAATTTAATCTTTAGTCTCTTAATTTCACTTTCATATACTCTTTCACTGATTAATCTATTTTTTATTTTAAAAACTTGAAATTTGAAATGAAATGGTTTAGACGGAGTTCCGGTCTTCGACGAAATCTGAACTCAGAGTTTGAATTCGCAAATTCAACAAATTAGATGATACGAAAATAAATGTCACAAATACCTGAAATTCTGACGAAATGACCAGTGCCATGTTATTGCTCGAAAATTTGACCCAAAGCTTCAATTGATCTCGAACGAATACTCAGTTACGGGTTGATACTTCTGTTAAATAAAATGTGTTTTTTTTCTAAATTAAATTGTGATTTCAATGCAAATAGTCTGAATTGATTAGATTTGATCCGTCCTATTATATGTGATTTAGAATAATTGTAATGTTTAAAGTGTGAACTGGAAAAATCACAAAATCTATTTGGTATCAATCTAGGTATATACTCTAAAAAAAAGATTAAACTGAAATGAAAAAAATGTCTTTCTGATTCTCAAAAACAATAAAAATTCATAAATGTAAATTCCAAGTCAAATTATATAGTAAATAGCCTAAAATTACGATCTTCAACTTCAATAACGATCTCCAGTTGCAAATTCAAGTATTTCATTTTTGGCATTTATATGTACAATTATACATTTATATGTACAATTATACATTTAAATTGAACAAACATATAAAGTGGATTATTTTTGTACTACAACGAATATTCCAAAATATTGATTTGTACAACATTGCATTAATTTGTACAAGGACTTTCATAAAACTGTACATTCTTCAATGCATTTACCTGTACAATTTGGTATATTTGTTTACTTACATAGTGCAGTATTTTTGTGTGTTTATTTATTTATGTACTTACTACTGTGGTACACTCAAATAACTGTTATGAAAATTTATGAAAATTCCAGTTTTTAAACATGTGTTTACTGTATAGAAAAATATATATATTATAAATATAATATATTATGGGGTTTTTCAAATTTTGATTGGGGAACTCGGGAGACCCGCAGGAAGTTGAGTCGTCGACATGAATAGCGAAAATTTAGTTTCCCGGTAAAATCGTTCAAGTGCGGGTAAACGGCGCTGAATTCCCAAGGTAGTAGAATATACAGGGTGTCTAATATCATATTAGATCGTCAATCTGTTTAAATAACAATTTTTGAGGGACTAATAAGAAAATGTAAGAAGAATGAATCATTTTGAAAAATTGATAAAGGCTAGTATAAGAATTTTCTTGTGGAAAATGCTAGGTTTTTCGAGTATTATGGGTTTATTTTGGCGATGAAACTTGGAGATTATCTAAGAGGATATGGGACGTTCTGTTTATGAGCGATTAGCGAAGATCTTTATAATTTAGTTAATGAAGTTTTAACCCTTAAACAGAATTTGATGAATAGTAATTTGAAGGATTTCTGCTTGATTTTTATCTACAATGCAGAGGGTAGAGTATCTAAAATCTAAAATAGCCCATACAATTATTGTTTAAAGCTTTAGATCTAGGACACCCTTAAAAATGAACGGGAAAACATTTGTCAAATTTTATAATTCGTCATAAACCAAAAAATGGCTGGACGTTTGTTCCCAGGGAACGATTGTTATTTCACAAGAACGAACGTGATAATTAAAAAAAGGAGAAACACGCCTAGCCCTAGCTAGAAACTACCACTATATCTGTTATTTTTTCATGAATTATTTGACATTGATTGGTGAGACAATCATTCCATCATGCGTTTGTGTTTCAACTTGTTGATAATATTTAATTTAAACCTTATGGCGCGCAATAAATGCAATTAATTCGCAATTCCTTTCACAACAAAAAAGTCAATTTATACTTTGGTAGTGGCATACACTGGCTGGTACCGACAGGACCAGTCAGGCAATGGAGAGTGTGCTAACGGTTTTAAGGTAGCCCGCCTTTTAACTTGACTCTTGCCTGGCCCTCCACACTTTGTTTCATTGAAACATGGACCAGTGACGCCCTGCCAACCAATATGGTGGTACGGTTTGATGAGAGCTTAACCCTGACTCCCATGGGATGATGGTTGACCATTTTATTTATTTATTTATACACTTAATTGAACTGCACTAACATTTCAGCCTTAAATGCTAAGAAAATTGAAATTAAGCTTAATCTTTTGTTTTATAATATTCATTTGCAGCATGATAACGAGAAAATCCAAAATCTAATTTTGATTAAACGAACCTTACAATTATAACCAAAAAAAGTTTCCATTTTAATGTTCATCCAATGTGAACGAATGAAAAATGTATCATATTAAATTGTTAATTAACTAGAAAATTGAAAGAAACTTAAAAATTTGAAAACTGTTGAAACAATTGTGAAGCTTGGGCTTGGATTATTTTAAAATCTACAGAAATATTTCCATTCTTGTATTTGCTGCGTAAGTTTCGAAGTAAATTAAAGCCGAACAGTTAAAACATTGATTTTAGATGAAAAAGCAATTCCGTTGCAGGCAATTGCGCGCAATTAAGCGAATATTTAATTGCTTCCGCAACGGAATTTCGATTGGAAACCCTTATAGTTCAAAATGAATGAAAATGCTTTTATGAAAATTTTTGAAATTTTCACTTTAAGTAGTGAAAATATCCTTTCAGCTCCTACTTCCCGACTGCTTCAAATAATGAAACAGCTTTCAACAGGCTATTCTTGCTTTGAGTAGCAATGAGAAAGAATCATTTTCAAATGTTGTGCCTTAAATTTTTCTATTTTTTCTAACATGGATATTATTTTTCTCAAATCAACTTATAAGAAATTAAAATCCCTTTGAACTATAAGATATAATTTTAAAGTTTAGTGAAAGGGTGTAGCTAACCTCCAACATGTTTCATGTCCTGAATAAAATTAACAATATAATTATCTGGGGTCATGCAGCATGAGAGTCGCACAGACTTGCCAGGCAGTACGTACCTCCACGCTATACAGTAAAATGAGTGCGTGTACAGGGTGTTTCAAATTATATCAGATCGTTTATGGCTCTAAATTAAGATTTTAAGGACATTTTGGCGTTAAAGCTTGGAGATAATACAATATGATATGGGACGCTCTGTATATGCATTATGCAAGGAAATGTGTACAATTCATTTCGCATTTTCAACTGTTAAGTCCGGTACATTTTATGGACTTTGGACTGTCCCAAAAACCCAGAGCACCACTTGTTTATAGTTTGATTTTCTTGAAATAATTTGACTAAAAGTGAAACCCCATGGCATTGAGACTCTGAGTCTCGGGCTTATGAAACGCTACCAAAGTCTCGGGATTTTGGGATGGTCCCAAAAACCCTTAGTCCCACATGCTTGAGTTTTGATTTTTCTTTAAATATTTTGAGTAAAAATAAACTCCCACAGTGCAGTTGGTGTCGAAACTCTGGGTTTACAGTCCTAAAGTCCCGGGACTCTCCTGAGCTTTTCGGTCTCTGAATGATTTAAATATTTTTATCAAAAATTGCCAAATAGTCCCACCCATACACTTCAATGGGTCTGCGATATATGAAAATTCTTGCAAATTTGAATATTTGTATGAAAAATTTATTTTTTATCGTGCAGACTGGTTGGAGGTGTTGAAACGGTTTCATTTCAATGGTATAACACACGTGCCTGGGTCATTTTTATGCGGAAACAGGTTTCAATTGATGGCCTGTTTCATTGCCTTTTCTGTAGAAATCCACTCAGATAAACTTTGTAAGAAATAGAACAATTCAATTTCCAAAAATATAGTATATTTAAGCATAAGTTCATAATTTCATTGTAAGTTCACAGATCATAAAATATTTATTATATAAAAAATACAAATCTTAAGCTAAAAAGTGATGCATTTAATTTTTTAATTTTTATGCAAACAACCAAAAGAATCAGAATATTTTGCTGTATTTTATGAAAGTGTTGTAAACAATTTTGTGACTTAAATGTGATGTTTTTGTTCAATGTACGGTATTTAAACTAGTTAATCCTTATCATCATGTACAGTTTACGCTGTACAGTGTACAGTGTACACTGTACAGCGCAACGCGTACTTAAAAAGTATAAAGAATTACAGAAGCTGTTCTTTTTTGTTTACTGAATTTAAAATGCGAGCTAAACTGGTTGCCAACTCTGTGAGTCTTTATACTCTTTGCCCAAAGCCATAAGAATAAGGTGCATAAATTAGACACATTCTTAAAATTTATAAAAATATAAAATGCATTTGTGTATTGTATTGTAAAACTTTTTGAGAAAAATAGAAGAAAAATAATTGATAAAACATAAATATTTTGAGCTGATAATTCAGTTGTAGGAACTTTATATCGGCCTAGGGCTTATTTTCACATTTCATTTTAGGCAAGCTGGGGAAATTGAAATAATAGACTGTTTTTTTTCTGAACAGAACTTAACTGAACCAGAACTGAACAGAACTGGACAGAACTGAACTGAACAGAACAGAACAGAACAGAACAGAACAGAACAGAACAGAACTGAACAGAACTGAACAGAACTGAACAGAACTGAACAGAACTAGAACTGAACAGAACGAACTGAACTGAACTGAACTGAACTGAACTGAACTGAACAGAACTGAACTGAACTGAACTTAACTGAACTAGAACTGAACAGAACGAACTGAACTGAACTGAACTGAACTGAACTGAACTGAACAGAACTGAACTGAACTGAACTTGACTGAACCAGAACTGAACAGAACTGAACTAAACTGAACTGAACTGAACTGAACTGAACAGAACTGAACTGAACTGAGCAGAACTGAACAGAACTGAACTGGACTGGACTGAACTGAGCTGAACTGAACAGAACTGAACAGAACTGATCAAAAACGGAACAGAACTGAATAGAACTGGACAGAACTGAACAGAACTGAACTGAACTGAACAGAACTGAACAAAACATAACTGAACAAAACTGAACAGAACTGAACAGAACTGAACAGAACTGAACAGAACTGAACAGAACTGAACAGAACTGAACAGAACTGAAGAAATTGATTTAAAATGATGCAAATAACGACTACATATTAACCAAATATTTACAGTTAATTCAAGTATTTTTGATGAAATATCAAAATTAGCTTGAAACTAAATCTCAGATTCCAATCTGGGGTACAGAGCCTAGTCAGTGGGGAAAAGAGACAAAATTTAGTTATTAAAGGGACTGTCAACGTAATTTCAAGTGACATCATCCCTTCTAAATTGAATGCCTATTTTACAACGGTGCCCTTTCAACCTTTGATTGAATAAGAATGAGAAAACATTTTTTGTCTTTTAAAGAGACAAATTTTGTCTATGAATTCTACGTTTCTTTGCTGCATAAGGTTGCAAGGCCCTTTTTAGAGAAAATCCGTAATTCAAAATTATTATTTTTAAGTTGGAAGAAGAATGTTTCCATTGTTTTTCTCCGTTAAAGGTTAATTGGGCACCGTTATATGAATAGGACAATATTTTAAAGTGAAGGATCACTTATAAGTTGAATTAACGTCGTTGGTTCCTTTAAAACTTGTTTTATGCCTTTCCGAGATTCTGCCTAAATCTGAAAAACAAAAATTAAACAAAGTGTTTTGGAAAAGTCAGCGAGAGTCCAATCTGCCAACTTGGAGTCAGTTACAGGGTGTCCCACGAAACATGACAGTTGATGAATAGTTTAGAATGTATTTTTCCATTATTTGTTCAGTTGTTTGATACCAAAGATCAATAAAAATATTATAATGGAGTCATGTTACATTAAAATTGATTCCAAAGTAAAATATAATGAAGCAAAAGATTTGTTTAATTAAAAATAACTATTTATCAAATGTCATGTTTCGTGGGACACCCTGTAAATCTCCAGGAGTAAAATTTCACTTCACAGAAAGGTTGTAAAGTCGTCTTCATAAAGATTCTGCTAAAAATTGTGCTTTGTTTTTTTGCAGTGAACGTGCATTGGTAAACAGTTTTTATCTTTTTAATCTACAGTTATAACGCTGGACTTTAAGATGAACTTTTAATTAATTTGCGCATTTTTTTCACTTTCAGATGCATAGGGCAGGAGGGGGTCCTCATCACTATCTATTGTGGGGGCAGAGGGGGCTCCAGGGGCGTAGCTGAGGGAATTGTAGGGGGAGTCCGGAGACAGTTCAGGGGCAGAAGGACCCTCTGGCGTGGATGTTCTTAGACTTGACACCTCAGGGGTGCTTGGGTCAGAGTCGGAGTTTAGCTCAGTAGGGTACATGGGGTAGTGTGAGGGGGGGTTGGGAGGTGAGGGACCAGGGGGGGTGGCATCCTCCCCCTCCTCATCCTCCGACAGCAGCAGAACCTGCACAACAGACTCCATTAAAGTTTCAAAATTTACCAAAAATGTTAATTTATTAAGTTATCAATAAAGGGCAAATATAAGTTGAATATTCAATTTAATATAAATTTATAAAGGGCAAATCTGAAAACTTTGAAATTTCCCAAAACTTTAATGATAAAATGCAGGTCTAATTGGATTAATCCGATAATATTTATGGTTATATTAATTTTTAAACAATAAGTTTTAAAAGTGTTAAATTATCCAAAAAAGATGATTTAATAAGAATATGTTCTAAACGTTTAAAATTCAAGAATATTAATTAATAAAGAGTAAGTGAACAAAGTTTAAAATTCAATAATATTAATTAATAAAGAGTAAGTGAACAAAGTTTAAAATTCAATAATATTAATTGATAAAGGGTAAGTGAACAAAGTTTAAAATCCAATAATATTAATTGATAAAGGGTAAGTGAACAAAGTTTAAAATTCAATAATATTAATTGATAAAGGGTAAGTGAACAAAGTTTAAAATTCAATAATATTAATTAATATAGGGTAAGTGAACAAAGTTTAAAATTCAATAATATTAATTGATATAGGGTAAGTGAGCAAAGTTTAAAATTCAATAATATTAATTGATAATGAGTAAGTGAACAAAGCTTAAAATTCAATAATATTAATTAATAAAGAGTAAGTGAGCAAAGTTTAAAATTCAATAATATTAATTGATATAGGGTAAGTGAACAAAGCTTAAAATTCAATAATATTAATTAATAAAGAGTAAGTGAACAAAGTTTAAAATTCAATAACATTAATTGATAAGGGTAAGTGTACAAAGTTTAAAGTTCAATAATATTAATTGATAAAAGCAATAGAACAAAGTTTAGAATTACCCCAAAAATGTTTATTCACAAAAAATTATTAATTTTAATAAAACTATTAATTGATAAAGGGCAAGCGTTAACATTCTGAAATTATCCGAAAATGTTAATTGATAAAGGGAAAGTTTGGAATTTTCCAAAAAAAAAGTTTAGTGATAAAAAGCAAGTAAACAAAGAATCATCCAAAAATATTAATTGATTAAGGACAAGTTCTAAAATTTTGAGATTATTTAATAATATTAATTGATAAAGGTCAAGAGTACAAAGTTTTAAATAATACAAAAATGGACTTACTGTGTGGTAGGCGATTTTATCAATGAAGATTTCTACTTCAATTTTAATTTATTTAAAGCTTTTAAACAGCATGGATACACAAAAACATGGAAACAAATAGAAGTTGTCAATTAAAAAAGCTTCTCTTTATTTATTTGTAAGATTTTAATTCAAAAAAGCTTGTTAACAATTAAAACTTAAATAAAAAAGTCGTCTTCATTATATTGCTAAAATCGCCTACCACCGTAGGTAAAATTCAATGTGGCAATATATGTATATTATATATATATATATATACCTGTCTAGGGTCTGTATCCCAGATTAGATCTTCCTATCCTGATTTATATTATATATATATACCTGTCTAGGGTCTGTATCCCAGATTAGATCTTCCTATCCTGATTTATATTATATATATATACCTGTCTAGGGTCTGTATCCCAGATTAGATCATCCTATCCTGATTTATATTTTTCTGTCAATTCTTCGATAAAGATATTGTACCTGGAAAAAGAAAAAGTAATTTACAGGGTGTCCCAAGAAACATGACTTAGCAGGACGGCGTGAATGTCGTCTTTGACTTTGACATTTTTTTATTAAAGCTAAAGCTAATTTAAGTATGATTTTAGAGACAATGTTAATAAAACAGCCGTGGTTTTGACATTTCCAAAATGTGGTCTGCCTTTTTTGTGCTTTTATATTACTGAAGGTATGAAAAATTTAGTTTGTTTTGGAAATGACTAAATAAAGTGATTATTGTTTCAAGAATTTTACATTTGTGTAGTTTTTAGAGTTATATAGATATGCAATATCAAGCAAAATTATCTTTTATAAAAAGCATATCCCTTTTCCTGCCGGCCCTCTCAGAATGGCTCTACTAAATTCGTGCAGGTTGCCCCATGATTGGCTATATTTCAATATCTATTAAAAGTACGACGACATTTAAAAAGTGAATTTCTCATTTTCCGCCTGGGATTGTCCTACAACTAGGATTTACATGCATTTAGTTTGCTTCGCAATGTTTTGGCTTAATTGTCGTAGAATTTTTTTTTATTCAAAAATTATCTGCAAAGCTTCTAGATTCTTGAAAATACAAACCCTATTAAATGTAGTGTTGTTTATGAGTTTATGTGTTTATGAGTTTTAAAGAAAATACAGAAAATGTTTAAAGTTGGAAATCATAATTTTTTTAGTTTTTTTTATATCCTAGGAATTTTGGCTTTGTAGGAGGCTTCACAAAAATTTACAACATTTTAAGTAATTACTAATTAAACTTTTTATCAGTTTTATTTGATAAAATTTTGCAAAATTTTGACTCTTGCATTAGATATAAGTCAAGATTTTATACAGAGTCAAAATTTTGCATGGTGTAATTAAGGCAAACTTTCAGAGAAAACAATTTTGAAATATTTTCTTTGATTTTTGTAGATCTCAGTAAGGTCTTAAAATCCCGAATCTTAAAAAACGTGTAAAATTGATGCCCGACATTTTATTAACTTAAAAAACAATTCCTAAAAAGTCTTAAAATTGCTTTTTTTTGTTTCCGTGACAGGAATTATCATAATTGAATGACGCGTCCAGTTCTCTCTGATTATTAGCATCTCTCCCTTTAAATTAAGAGTACGTTACAATTGTGTCCCTTTAAACTAAGAGTACGTTACAACTGTTCCTTTAAACTAAGAGTACGTTACAACTGTTCCTTTAAACTAAGAGTACGTTACAACTTTCCCTTTAAACCAAGAGTACGTGACAACTGTCCCTTTAAACTAAAAGTACGCTACAACGGTCCCTTTAAACTAAGAGTACGTGACAACTGTCCCTTGAAACTAAGAGTACGAGACAATTGTCCCTTTAAACTAAGAGTACGTTACAACTGTCCCTTTAAACTAATAGTACGTTACAACTGTCCTTTTAAACTAAGAGTACGTAAAAATTGTTCCTTTAAACTAAGAGTACGTGATAATTGTCCCTTTAAACTAAGAGTACGTTACAACTGTTCCTTTAAACTAAGAGTATGTTACAACTGTTCCTTTAAACTAAGAGTACGTGATAACTGTACCTTTAAACTAAGAGTACGTTACAACTGTTCCTTTAAACTAAGAGTACGCTACAACTGTTCCTTTAAACTAAGAGTACGTTACAACTGTCCCTTTTAACTAAATGTACGTTACAACTGTGCCTTTAAAAGTTGAAATAGCAGAATGTATGTTAAAATAAATTGGCAAGTAGATTTACAATGGAAATTGACAAATCTGTTTCTTCCATAACTTCTGTATTAAAACCAGTTTCATCTAACATCAAATCCATTTTAGGATTTACAATTGTACTCTGTTCAATTCTATTTAAATGATTTTTTTTCTTCATTGTTTCTAGCAGGGCACTTTGCGATCCTTTTTTGTACATCTTACAGAGCCTAATTTGTTTAATCAAACGTAAGTTTTTTTATACGTTAAAAAGCTAATTTTTCAATGTTCATGGTATTATATTATCTAATTTTTAGCTCAGCACCGTGCTAATTCATAATAAAATGTTTGTTAGATTTGTATGCGTTGACAATTGTGTCCGTTTGTACTTGACAAAATTTTGCTTGAAAAGCATGATCGACCCTATCATAAAGTTTACGCAGGTATTTCTGTTTTTCTAAAAAGATAATTTTACAAAAAAAATTTAAACAATCTTTTAAAAAAATAGGGTATTTTGTGCAGTAAGAACCAGTAAAATGAGGAATAAGAAGACGATATTATTGCAATACTTCACTGTATTTGATGCTATTTATAAAAAAATACAGTGAAACCCTTAATAACGAATACATCGAAAATTTATCAAATGTCGTCTTGACAATTTTTTAATGAGTTTTATACTATATTACGTAAATTTCAGTATTTGCGAAAATAAATAAATGACATGAATATGCGGGAACAGTTTTAAGAGTTCCATATAATCATTTAATTAAAAAACTAAATATCTGCAACATTCCATTTTCAGAAAGTGAAGAATACGACATTTGATATATTCTTTCGATGTATTCGTTATTAAGGGTTTCACTGTAGTTTACTTGTAACGTATAAAGTTAAATGTTTTTTTTTCTCGATTTTTAGGATTTATTTGAGACCTAACAAGTATACAAAGTAAAAACGACTTATTGATATCAAATGTTTCCTAAAAGTGTTCTTTACAATACTGCACTCTCATCAGCTCAACTACCAAGTGGTCTCTCCCTTTAATAATTACTAAAACTTACATAACAGTATCCATGTTCCTTGAGATAAGGTAGAGCAGGAACCAGTCTCCGAAGGCTGCCTTGTCCACCATGTGGTAAGTCTTATCCTTCACGTCTCCCAGGGCCTTCCTCACCACGACAGCTTTCCTAGAATTTAGATAGATAGATAGATAGATAGATAGATAGATAGATAGATAGATAGATAGATAGATAGATAGATAGATAGATAGATAGATAGATAGATATACAGATAGATAGATAGATAGATAAAATTGAACAACTTTTTGGCTTTTTTTACCTCTAAAGTATTTCGAAAAGAAATTTTCGTCAAATCTCAGACTGCAGTTTTTTGATTTAAAATTGGTTAACTAGTTTTTTAAACAACAAGTTACAGGATTAACAAAAAATAGTTTTACTCAATTCTGACCCGGCCCAGCGGTCACAAAAATTTTTTTGAAATTTTTTTTTCTTTGTGCAAAAACTCGGAGATGGTCATTTCTAGAGGAGCTGTACCCCTTGTCTTGAGGAGCTGTACCCCTTGTCTTGAGGAGCTGTACCCCTTGTCTTGAGGAACTGTACCCCTTGTTTTGAGGAGCTGCACCCCTTGTCTTGAGGAGCTGTACCCCTTGTCTTGAGGAGCTGTACCCGTTGCCTTGGAGTGACCCCTATTTGTACCTGAGTGAGGGTAGAGTAATGATAGCTAGCAGGTAAACCAGGTAGACGCTGGTCAGTGCAGCGAGGACAACAAACCAGACCCACAGGGTGATATAGATCTAGATAAACAGGGTGATATCGATCTAGATAAACAGGGTGATATAGATCTAGATAAACAGGGTGATATAGATCTAGATAAACAGGGTGATATAGATCTAGATAGATAGATAGATAGTGATGAAATATTAATATCTCCTTTTTAGAAGAAGAAAATTTACAATCGATTTTTTGAAAACCGCGTTGGCCTTCATATATTCGAGATAATTTAGATGATTTACCTTCTCGTTAATGATATTGAGACCAAGTACGCATAATGCGTCATGGGCCTGCAGGGTTCCTGACGCACCATAGTTGTAGAAAGTACACTTGGTTAGACGAGGAAACACCTTAAAAAAATACATATATATTTTTAGAAATCCAATTTTTTTTAAACGTTTTAAGCCTTTATTTATATCAGAAACTACAAGAGAAATTATTTGTTTTGAGGAAGAAAAGCAAGTATTTTAATCAACATTCTTTTCAGTAATTTTGCGATAAAAATAATAATTATCTTCTGCTAACAATAAATATTAAATAGAAGATATTTTTAGATTAATTTCTATTAAAACTGCAAAAATTCTTTATCTTAATTAATTTGATTACTAATCAAAAATCTACTGAAAAGCAAACGAACTGATTAATTGCCTCGAACTCTAATCTTCTAATCTAATCTTATGTAAACCTTTGATATTTTAAACTTTGTATATTTTATTTAGCATAATTCAAGGTCTACGACATCAGGTTACACGATATAATGGTAAAAAAACTTGAGGCGAGTTGCAGTTCCTTTGCGTGTCATTGTGCCAGTAGAAAATTAAATTCTTGATTTTTTTAATCCTGTTTTTTTACCTTGATCATGGGATCCGTTCTTAGGTCGTCTTCTTGTCCTACCCAGTTAAACACTTCAGTTCCATAGGTCATAAACACCCCGCCTATACAGTACCATTATAGTTCTATAGGTCATAAACACCCCGCCTATACAGTACCATTATAGTTCCATAGGTCATAAACAACCCGCCTAAACAATACCATTATAGTTCTATAGGTCATAAACACCCCGCCTATACAATACCATTATAGTTCCATAGGTCATAAACACCCCGCCTATACAATACCATTATAAACACCCCACTTCACATTAATGTTAATCTTTGGATTTCCTGCATAGGTTTTCGATTTATTTTAATTTAATGATTTTTGATTGAATTGTTTTGACCAAAAGTTAGTCATTTAAGAATCAAAAGAGATTACAATTTTTGTTGGAAATCGTTTTTTTTGTGACATTTTTTAACGAGTTCTACTTAAAAATTACATTTATAGTAAACAATTTTGAAAATTGACAATTCTAAAGAAAATATTCTTTGTGTTAAATTAACAAAAGAACAGTCCAGATTAAAAAAAAATATTCACTAAGAATGATTAAAATATTAATATTAAACTTGATTATATTTTACAATCTGTTTAAAGGAAAGACTGTAGACATAATTTCAAGTGGTCCTCCTTGTTTTTAGAGTAGAATATCTGATTCACAGAAGTAACCTTTAAATCTAAGGTTTGAAGGGTACAGTTGTGAATCGGACTTTCATATATGTGACTAGAAAATACGGAGAAAGTCACCTTCAGGCTGCTCATTTTTGGTGTGTGGGGATTCCAAACCCCCATTGAAACGCGATATATAAAGACTGGTTTTGAACCTGTTAAACTAGTATTTTATCATTTTTGTTTTTTTTTCATGTTCGCCCATAAATTATAAGATTTCATGAAGGAAGTTTTAAAAAAATAATGCTCCCCCCCCCCCGGGACAGTACGTGACAAAATTAACCCGTTATAGTGAGATTACCTAAGAATTTATCCACGAAGTACATTTGCCCAATAACATTTACAAAATTTAGGACATCGCACATGTAATATCTAAATAAGAATCCTTATTATTATTAAAGCAGTTATATCTTCATAACAGAGAGACCGGGACTTATACAGTGATAACCAGAAAACTGTGGAATAGAAGGACGACATTAGTGCATTACTGAACTGCATTTGATGTTGTTACAAAGTGAATAGCCTTACTAGAAACTAGCAAGTTATTAAATCACTAATTAAGTGAAATGGGTCTCCTTACACTGAGCAATTGCTGTGAAATGGGTCTCCTTACACTGAGCAATTGCTGTGAAATGGATCTCCTTACACTGAGCAATTGCTGTGAAATGGGTCTCCTTACACTGAGCAATTGCTGTGAAATGGATCTCCTTACACTGAGCAATTGCTGTGCTTCATGTTCATTGGACTATTCCAAGTCATATCTTGAGTCTAAAAGTCGTCTTTCTATTCCAGATTTTTCTGGTTATCACTGTAGACGTAATTTAATGTGACAATTCATTTAAAGAGTAGCATATATGATTCACAACGGTTCCATTTAAACCTCAATTTGATTAACAATGAATTTGAAACTAACATTAAATATAATAAACTTGCAGCTAGAAAAATAAGAATATCTCATTAACACTTAATCAGAAAAAGGTTTAAAGGGTAACGCTGTGAATCGTCTATGCCACTCTATAAAATAATTTGAATTATTGCAATTATATTACTTGAGAGCGTATGAGTTATGAAGGCCCCTGGTCTCCCAAAGGTATTTAACCAGGTTCTCACAAGCATCCCTCCTTCCCTCCTTATCAAAGGTTTTCCCTCGAAGGCCAGAGGTTATTCGGTCCAACTTCTTATCCTAGACAAATAAACGGAGGTCAGGGAGGTGGCAATTGGTAAGGTTGAGGTCAACAATATTGCAACTAGTAAGGTTAAGTTCAGGGAGTCTCCACATGGTAAGCTTAAAGGGACTGTGAAGGAAAATAAAATATCTAAAAAACGAAGATATCCCAGAGGAAGCTAATCTTTACTTTGGTTTGCTTTAATTATAATTTTATAACATTTATGTTTATTTTTAATAGATATAATTGATAATATAATTTATAAGTTCGTATAACGTCGCAAGTACTCCCACCAATGAATGTGCAGTATACTGGTCACGTGATGCAGACAGAGACACGAGACCACTATACTGCACTACCAATTGGGGGAGTTCTGCTGACGTAATAATTAACTTAAAAATAACATTATCAATGATATCTATAGAAAATAAAAATAAAACTGAAAAAAAAATAATTGGAGAACACATAGGTTACTATTAGGTTTATCTGGGATAGCTTTGTTTTCAGAGTGGTAGCGTATTTACTGGATATGATCTGTTTAAACCTACTATTGTATATATATATAATGAATTTTCGGATAAATTTGACACAGTTTTATATCAATTTCTCGAGACAGAAACATCAGATATAACTTTTATGGGTCGCAATCAAGAGCTAAAGTAATTAGCTTTCAGCCTATACCCTCTTTCGTTTTTCCTATACAGTACATTTAAGGTCAGGGAAGTTGCAACTAGCAAGGTTTAGATCATGAAGATTGCAAATTGTTAGATAGACGTTAAGGAAATCACATTTAGTGAGGTAATATTATTCAAAAATAAAACGTAGACAAAATCTTTAATAAATAATAATAAGAACGAGGAGGCAACAAATAAAAATTGATTTCAAGGGTGAAACCAAAAAAAAAAGCATTTCAATTTGAAAGAAACTTTCAACCTTTATGCTGTGACACCCTTTACCTCACAAAGCTTCCAGAAGTAGTGAGGAAGATAAAACATTACTCCTTGAAGGAATAGAACAAAGGGAACCCATTGGTAGTAGGCATGGTACACCTAAACATTATACAATAAAGGTACTGTGCATGGTACACCTAAACATTATACAATAAAGGTACTGTGCATGGTACACCTAAACATTATACAATAAAGGTACTGTGCATGGTACACCTAAACATTATACAATAAAGGTACTGTGCATGGTACACCTAAACATTATACAATAAAGGTACTGTGCATG